GCGCACACAAATGCTCACGTTCACGAACGAGATGTGCACACAAATGCTCACGTACACGAACGAGATGCGCACACAAATGCTCACGTACACGAACGAGATGTGCACACAAATGCTCACGTACACGAACGAGACGTGCACACAAATGCTCACGTACACGAACGAGATGTGCACACAAATGCTCACGTACACGAACGAGATGTGCACACAAATGCTCACGTACACGAGCATATACACTTCGTAAGACAAAGGCAATGCTGTTAATTATTCAACGTGTGGTATCAGTCTCATCAACAGAATGCTGTAAGAGACGGAAATTCGTCCGTAGAAGCAGAACAGAGAGAAAGGAAGAAAGGGAAGGAGAGGAAGAGGCAGATAGATAGATAGATAGACAGAGAGAGAGAAAGGGAGAAAGGGAGAAATGGAGGGGAGGGGCAGATAGGGAGTGGAGATAGACGGAGGGAGGGAGGAGAGGCAGATAGATAGATAGATAGACAGAGAGAGAGAAAGGGAGAAAGGAGAGGAAGGGAGGAAGGTTGAGATAGAGGGGAGGGTGAGATAGACGGAGGGAGGGAGGGAGAGGCAGATAGATAGATAGATAGACAGAGAGAGAGAAAAGGGAAGAAAGGGAGAAGGGAGGGAAGGTTGAGATAGAGGGGAGGGTGAGATAGACGGAGGGAGGGAGGGAGAGGCAGATAGATAGATAGATAGACAGAGAGAGAGAAAGGGAGAAAGGAAGGGAGGGAGGAAGGTTGAGATAGAGGGGAGGAGAGAAAGGAGGGAGGGAGGAAAGATAGATAGATAGATAGACAGAGAGAGAAGAGTTGAGATAGGAGGGAGGGAGATAGACGGAGGGAGGGAGGGAGAGGCAGATAGATAGATAGATAGACAGGCAGAGAGAGAGAAATAGAGGAAAGGGAGGGTTGAGATAGATAGAGGGGAGGAGAGAGGACAGGAGAAGAGGGGAGAGGTTGAGGATAGGATAGATAGATAGACAGAGAGAGAGAAAGGAGAGAAAGGAAGGAAAAGGGAGGAAGGTTGAGATAGAGGGGGGGTGAATAGACGGAGGGAGGGAGGAGGGCAGATAGAAGATAGATAACAGAGAGAGAGAGAGAAAGAGAAGGGGAAGCAAGTGTTTGAGATAGAATCGGGGAGCGTGCGGAATTCGACGGGAGCAATAATATAGATAGACGGGAGGAGGGAGGAGAGAGCCAGAATACTGATCAGATAAGCTAGACAGAGAGAGAAGAAAGGGAGAACACAGGCAAGGGTATGGGAAGCGAGGTTGAGATTAGAGGGAGGGTGCGATAGACGGAGGGAGGGAGGGAGAGGCAGATAGATAGAATAGATTAGATAGACATAGAGAGAGAAAGGGAGAAAGGAGGAGAAGGGAGAAAGGAAGGGGTAAGGGAGGAAGGTTGAGATAGAGGGGAGGTGAGATAGACGGAGGGAGGGAGGCAGAGGGCACATTACGATAGGTAGGTAGACCAGAGAGAGAGAAAGGAGGAAAGGGAAAGGAGGGGAGGAAGGTGAGATAACGGTAGGGTAGAGGAGGAGAGACAGATAGATAGATAGATAAGGACAGGAGAGAGAGGAAAGGGAGAAAGGAGGAGAGGAGGGGAGGTTGAGATTAGAGGGGAGGGTGCGATAGACGAGGGAGGAGTGAGAGGCAGATAGATAGATCAGATAGACAGAGAGAGAGAAAGGGAGACAGGGAAAGGAGGAGTAGGGGAGGAAGGTGAGATAGAGGGAGGGTGAGCATAGAGCGGAGGGAGGGAGGGAGGGAGAGGCAGATAGATTAGATAGATTAGACAATGAGAGAAGAAAGGAAGAAAGGAGAGAGAGGGAGGAAGGTAGATTAGCAGGGTGGAGGGTGAGATAGGACGGCAGGGAGGAGGTAGAGAGGCAGATATATAGATAATAGGACAGAGAGAGAGAGAGGGGGGGGGAGAGACAACAAACAGAGCGACAGCAACAGACAGACACACAGGGGCAAGCAAACGGACAAAGACAATCATGCAGCACAGAAAGTCACTGCAATCATTTCTCTCTCATCGTCATGCACGAAAAATGAAAACTCAGAAAAAAAGGACATGTACTCGACACGACAGAAAGCAATGCTTCACATTTACATCTCTGGAAAAAAGTAAGTTTTTGATTTACGCGTTCCTCCCGCTTCGGTAATGCCAGGTCTCCTCTGGCACCGAAATGAGCATTTAGAGGTATTTGGTTATTATGCTCCGCAGTACGGCTTATGTACAAAAATAATTAGGCAGAGTTTGTTTGCTCGGGACATCCATCTCTATTTATTATGATATTAGATATATATATGTGTTTGTGTGTGTAAAATTAAATAAACAAATAAATGAAATAAAATAAATAAAATAAAAATATATATATATATATTATATACTATAATATATATATATATATATACATATTACGTATATATATATATTGATATATTAGTATATATAGTAATATATTATAATATATATATATA